CTCAACCCTCACAACACTTCAGAAATAGGTACCCTTCTGGATCAGGAAGCTGAGGTGCAGAGGAATGACCTTGCCCCAGGCCACACAGCTAGTGAGGGTTCTGACTCCAGAACCCATGCCATGATGTCTCCAATTATTGAAGGCACAATGTCAGCAACCAGAGACAGATGGGATTTTAGGCCAGGTATGCAGTTGTAATGTGGGGTAGGGCAAGAAGCAGGGACGTAGGAAGTCAGAAGTGCTTTTGGTCACCTATGCAATTCCATACTGTTGTATTAAATGTAAAGAGAAAAAACTAAAATGATGTGCTCTAAGCATTAAAAGGATTGTGTTTAGGGGTCAAGTCATGGGGAAAAAAATACATCATTCGAGTGCTTGGGAGGTATGTGAAATTGCCCTGCAGGAGGGTGACAAGCTTCACAAAAGGCACCCTGTAGCAGCTCTTGCTCAGGCCATTGCTGATTTAGGCCTGGGGTCCCCTACCTGGTCTCTGGGCATCCAGCCCTTTGCCTTTCCCATCCATCCGGCACTGCAGCCTGGTGTAGTGAAAAGATCAAGAAGATCAGCTGAGAAATTGGGAGCTTTAGGTTCCAGGCTTGCCTCTGCCACTAACTCAACTGTGTGGTCTAAGCCAGGCCCTTCCCCTCTCCGGGCCTCAGCGTTTCTCAGGGTGTATTCTGTGGAACAGTATTCCCATGAGATAGGAACAAGTGTTCTTCCCTGTGCCCCAGAGAGTCCCCTCCCGCCCTCGGCTTCCCAAACCCTGCTTCAAACACTGGACCAGACAGCTCCAAGAGCTCCCCGCCAGCTCCAAGATGCCACAGTCCACCCTGTCATCACCTCCAGGTTCACCCCAGGAACTGCTCCTCCATCCTCCTCACTCGGCCAGAAACCTTATCACGGTCCTGGTACCCCTCCAATGACCCAGCCCCCATGTGCAGCCCTGGACAGGCCCTGTCCCTTCATCTTCCAGTGTTTACCTCCAGCCCTTCAACTACTCTCCATTTCCACTCTATCGCCCCCCAGCAGTCCACTCTCAGAGCAGCCAGAGTGGGTTTTTAAAATGCAAATCGGATTACCTTGACCCTTGACACTGCTTAAAACCCCCTAGTGGTTTAATCCCTAAATTAGTCAAATTTCAAAAGACAGAAAGTAGAATGGTGGTTGCCAGGGGCTGGGGGAAGGGGGAATAGAGCATTATTGTTTAAGGGGTACAAAGTTTCAGTTGGGGAAGATGAAAAAGTTCTGGAGAGGAATAGGGGTGATGGTTGCCCAATATCGTGAATGTTGAGCAATGTTGGGCAATGTTAATGCCACTAAACTGAACACTTAGAAATATTTAAAATGGTAAATTTTGTTATATATATTTTACCACAAAACAAAAACAGAAATGATACAGTGGCTTCCCAGTATATTTAGAATCAGATCCAAACTTCGCATCATGGCAAGCAAGAGCTCTGTGACCTGCCCCTTTCCCACTCCCCACCCTCCTTCCCCTGCCTCCAAACTCATTTTCGGCACCTCACCCAAACTCATCCCTACCTCAGAACTTGGCACTTGCCGGTCCCTGTTTAGAAACCCCTCTCTCCCACACCCTGTCCCCAGCACCCCCACTACCCCAGCACCCCCC